TGGTTGCCCAGGGAGAAGTTCATCATTGTACATCAATTTCATGATGGCATGCTTGCCTGGGTTCTGAATAATGGACAATGCTCTTCTGCTTTCCCAGTTACCAGTGGAGTGAAACAAGGCTGTATGCTTGCTGCCATGTTTTTTAGTATGATGTTTTTAGCCATGTTGTCAAATGCCTTCAATGAGAATGAATTTGATAAACATCAAGGTCAGCTACCGAACTGATGGTAAATCTGACTTTTAAAATAATATTGTAGGGGCAGCTAGGTGGAGCAGTGGATGGAGCACCGGCCCTGAAGTCAGAAGGACCTGAGTTCAAATCTGGCCTCAGACCAAACACTTGACACTTACTAGCTGTGTGAGCCTGGGCAAGTCACTTAACCCCAATTGCCTAAAAGCAAAAATAATAATAATAATATTGTAATAAAGAAAAATGTGAAACATTTGAAGCCATATAAAATAGTGTTAGCTTAATTATAAGTCATTTAGAAAGAATTTTTATTGAAAGCTAGATTTTTTAAAAAATTCTGAACTTCATAAACCAAAAAAAGTTACAAAGTAGAACAGATTTACATATGGAACTGCTACATATTGTTTGCAAAACCAGATACGCCAAAAATGATAACTTTGTAGATTATATGATGCCTGCTCAAACCTTTCCCTTTCAATTATACTATTTTTGAGGTTTAAACATGATTTCTACACATCTTGTTAGATCCTAACAATGATATTATGAGCTCAGTTCACCTCTTTTTTATACTTTTTTTTGCTAAGCAGTGGGGTTAAGTGACTTGCCGAGGGTCACACAGCTAAGTAAGTGTCAAGTGTCTGAGGCTGGATTTGAACTCGGGTCCTCCTGACTCCAGGGCCGGTGTGCTATCCACTGCGCCCCTTTTTTATACATTTCTGATGATATCCTTTATATTGCTTCTGTACAATTCTTCCCTAGCGATGTGTTGTCTACTCATGCCCTCCAGATACCCCTGAGTTATCCGTAGGTGATCCACAACTTTAATTCTTCAGAGACTTTGTTGTTCCATGACAGTCAATAGCAAAGAATGTTGCTGTTAGAAAGTTGCCTTTTTATTTTCAAGTTGAAGCTTAGGAATCATCAAAACTGCTGTGTAATTCCTCTAGACAATCCAATCCATTCTGCTTCATTCAGGACCTGGTACCATCCATGCACAGTGTCTGGCCAGAATATGTGTAATGATAGATCAACTCTGGTTGTCTATTCCATGAGGTATCATAATGTGAACAATAGACATTCATTCAATTGTTTTTCCCTGCATGTATAATCATATTGAATTCTTGAGTGATGAGCTCATTTAGGAGGTTTAGAAATATTCATGTGCTTAAAGCAATCTACAAGCACTTAATGAGCACCTACTGTGTACTAGGTGCTAGGAATATGAAAGACAGTCTCTGCTTTTAGGGAACTCACACTGCTATGGGAATTCAACGTGTTCACTAATACTGGATATAGAGTGAGGAGGGAAATCAGGAAAGGCACTTTGAAAGAAGCAGTTACTTGAACTGAGCTTTGAGGGAAGTTAGAAGTTCCAAGAGACAAAGTTAAGGAAGAAGAGTATTCCAGGTAAGAGGAATGGACTGCAAAGGTTTAAATGAGGGAGATAGGATGTCAGGTGTGGAGAACATCAAGTAAACACTTTAGCTGGAGTACAGAGTGTATGAGGAGGAATAATGTGGAATCAGCTTGACAAAGGTTGGGTCTGTATTGTGGGGGACTTTAAATGGAAAACAGGAGTTTGAATTTTATCCTAAAAGTAAGGCTTCCTACTCTGGGGCACGCATACGTGTCTCCAGGGGACATGGAAAGTTGTCAAGAGGGCACAAGTAATATGTGATTTCTGACAAACCAGTTTTATATTAAGAATTTGTGGGGGGCAGCTAGGTGGCACAGTGGATAGAGCACTGGCCCTGGAGTTAGGAGGACCTGAGTTCAAAACTGGCCTCAGACACTTGACACTTACTAGTTGTATGACCTTGGGCAAGTCACTTAACCCCATTCCCTAGCCAAAAAAGAAAAGAAAAGAAAAGAAAAGAAAAATAAGTACTGAATAAAGCTTTCTGAAAAAAAAAACGTGCTTATTTCCTTTCATATTAAATAGGGTACAGGGACTAAAGAAAGTTGGCTGCAACAATCATACAGAAACCTCAGTATATGGAGGATATAACCATTTATAAGGAATCTCCCTTTTATACTCTGCTGGACATCCTCTGTGACAGCAGCAAACACTTTAGACAAGTATAATTTGTGTTTTATACATTTCTTGACAATAGTAATTAGATGGTCACTAAAATTATTGCTGTTGCATCTTTCAAAGAATCTGATTCTGATATGCACGGACCTTCTTGGAGAAGAGTCTTTAAGGTCGTATTTTCCTTACCGAATTAAATGTTTTTTAAATAGTTAATAAGAAAATGAGGTCTTGTGTTCTCTACACCCTTTGGTAAGTTGTGTAACTTTAAAGATTTGTTTTGCTGTAGAATATTGCTTGTGAAAGCTTGCCTATTCCCTTCTTATTCCTTCTGTGGATTATACTCACAAAAATTATGTAAAGATGAGAAATAGACTTATGGGTTGGGAGTTATTGATATTTTGTGGTAATAAGGTCTATTTCCCCCTCACTTCTGGTGTTCTCTAAATGAATTTGAGAATCAGTACTCTCAAAATTATATACAACCCAGTGCCGAGAGTATGTCATCTAGTTAGTTGCTCTTCCTATTTTTGTTTTCTTCAGTAACGTTTAGTGCATATAGATTGTGATTCAGTCCAAATATGGGCAATAGCAAGCTGTTTATTATAGGTCTCATCTAGTTTTCATGTTTGATGTGGGCCCTCATTATTTCACATTCATGGATGAGAAGCAGCAAGTTGATATAGTGGATAGAATGCTAGACATAGAGTCAGGAAGATGTGGACTCAAATCCTGCCTCAAACACTAGCTATGTAATTTTGAGCAAGTCACTTAACCTCATTGTGCCTCAGTTTCCTCATCTGTAACATGAGGGGATTGGACTGGCTTTTAAGGTCCCTTCTACCTTTAAATAGTATATCTAGGTATAGGTATATATACACACACATGTATATGTGCACATATGTGTTTACATATACTTATGTATGTGTGTGTGCGTGTGTGTATAGCATGACTAGAAGATGTTTTCGTGTAGCTTGTAAAGTTCTGAAAACAATTCCAGAAGAGGATTTCCAAAAATAGTTTGAGCAATGACGTTTATTGCTTTGTACAGTATAGTCTCCCGAGAGGACTACTTTGAAGGAAGACACTCATTGGGATGTGTACATTCTAGCTAGCACATTTGTTTGTTTGTTTGTTTGTTTATTTATTTGTTTTCGGCTAGGCAATAGGGTTAAGTGACTTGCCCAGGGTCACGCAGCTTGTAAGTGTTATATGTCTGAGGCCAGATTTGAACTCAGGTCCTCCTGAATCCAGGGCTGGTGCTCTATCCACTGTGCCACCTAGCTGCTCCAAGCATATTTATTTAAAAAATTAATTCCATTCTTGTAATTCATACACCTAGGTTTTGTCTTATTTTCTATGTCCATAATTAAAACAACATAAAGTTGTGCATACCTGAACAGTAAAACTCTTTTTTAAAAAGTTAACTTGCCTATGTTTCTCCTTTGGCATGTTCTGGTTAATTCCCATCTTATGTGTGTGTGTGTGTGTGTGTGTGTGTGTGTGTGTGTGTGTGTGTGTGTGTGTGTATGGATGGATGTGTGTATGTGTGTATATGTGTGTGTAGAGTAGAAGGTGGGGAGTGTTTGCTCCAAATCTGTGACACAGCAATGATATGAGAAAGTCATTTTAAATCTGTAGTCTTGGAAAGTTGCCTGGGAACTTTCTCCCAGACATAAAGCTGAAAGTTTAAGTGACTTTTCCATGGTCATGTGCTAGTACATGTTAAAGTGAATGTCCAAAGCAGGAGTTGAACCCAGGCCTTTCCGACTCCAAGGCCATCCCTTTATTCACTATGTCAAACTGCTTATCCAGTTGCATCTACATATCTTTATTTTTATTGTTTCCTTCTTGAGAACTTTTTCATTTAAATGTACTATTTTTTTGGTTTAAAAAAATTTTTTTAAATGTACTTTTTAAAAGTAGCTAATTCCTTGAAAAGATACTTAAGGTTTTGTTTTTTTCTTGCTATGTTTCTAAAAATGAAGTAAGGATTTTGGCATTTAAAAGTCACAATTACTTCATTATTAGGTCTCAAAAAGAGTGTTTAACCCAATTTGCTCTGGCTTGCATGCTTTCTCAACCCTGAAGGTGGGCACAAGAAGCAGAGCCAGGCTTACTCATAAGTACTTAGCTAGATATATTGTCTATTCTCAGCAATTAAAACTATGTAGAAGGAGAATGAATTATTCTTTTCCACATTCTCTGGCCACTGTCCAAGGTCATAGGATTTAGAGCTGGAAGAAACCTTAAAGATCACTTAGTGATTCTACTCTGACCTCCTTTATAGGATGAAAAAATTGAGGACTAGAGAATTACAACTAATTGTCCCAGGAATAAAGAGAAATTAAAACTATCACTGCCTGTCTAATGTGATTGACAGTTCAGAGAGCTGGTCCTATTGGTGAAATGAGGGAGTGGGCACAGTCTCCTTTTCTTAAACCAATTCTTACCTTGCCCAATTTCTCTCTTCTACAAAATTTCTACATGCAGTTGTGACTATTAATTTCTGGCAATGGGAAAGATTTTTCTTTTTTAAAGCTCAGATCACTATTATTTTTAACATTTAGTTTCACTAGATATGGTGAACTGTTGCATTAGGTTTTTTGCACATTCATTGTTAAGTGGCTGTTCTTTGTATATGTAAAGATGACGAGCAAATATGTAGGCATTTATTTCCTTCCCTCTCATCTTACAGGAATTGCTTACTGGAAGGCAGTACAAATACTGAAAATCAGAAAAACAGGAAATAAAATTGAATAGGAAGCCAGAAATCATGTGACTGATGACTAAGTCAAACTTTTTCTTCTTACTGCCGGACAGGGAAGAATAAGATACTAATTCACTGCTCTTCTATTTTCGTTCTGAAAGCTTTGAAAGATACTTAATTATGTTTCAGACTGTGTTTTTCTCCACCCTGTTAACTTTCACATTCATTGAATCAGTGAAAAATAGGTGGACCTGCAACACCTCAGATGGAGAGATAACATACTCTTCCTGTGGTAAGTGTATTACAAACTTCACTCTATCAATTGTTTTGAACATGAGTTTTCCCAAGAACAATATTTAGACACTTACAGGGTCAGAGATGGCAAATGCTTTGATTGAAGAAAAGGACAGCCTGTTAATTGTACCAGCAGCCCCTAATCCTGGCTTTAAGGAAGTTTCTGTCCTTTACATGAGACTATTTTTTCCAATTTATGTTATGTTTGACCCTAAATGATAATTCCCCCTCCCCCTTCTCCCCTACTCCAAACTCCAGTGGTCAGCTTGCTGTATCTTGAGCTCAGTTCAAGATTCCATCCCATCACTATAATAATCACCTGCTGTTATTTTCCACCATCCCTCCCCAACTGATAGGTTTCTATGTTCTCCAGTGTCACTGACATGGTGGAAACATGGCTAGTTCTCCACCAGTCTTGATTTCTGACCTGGGCTAGGGTTTCTAGAGGCTCTGTGAACCTTCTTACAATCCCTAATTTGGTTACTCTCCTTGTTTTTTTGCCCTCCCCATTTTAGGAGAGTGAAGAAAAAAATTTCAGTGTTTTATAGACAAACAATAAATTGTTGACAAACTCTCCTCTCTAACCATTGCAACCACCCTGACTGGTCACCCTTGGCTTTGTCACTGACCCCGAAGGTGACACTTGAACGCTTCTAGGGATGGGACTTCCTGAGGCAACTCATTCATTCTATTTATTGATAGCTCTAAATTGTGAGAAAATTTTTCCTTATATTCCTTACATTCCTAAAAAAAAAAAGAAATATACTTCCCATAATTTTCACCTACTGGTTCCAGTTCTTCCCCAAATAGACAAATCGAACAAGCATAGTTCTCCTTCTTTATGGCAAATATTCAAATATTGGAATACAGGCAACTCTTTAAGATTGAAAATTGCAAGAAGGTACTGACCTACATTGTTAGAGGGTGTTTTCTCACCCAGGAGTTCCCTAATCATGAAATCACAGGTCCATTCCTTATCCCTATTCAAATTCACATCTCTCCTAGGTCTTCTTTTCTGTAGGCTAAACATCTCCAATTCCTTCAGTTGACCCTTTTCCTTTGGCAGGGTTTCAGATCCTTTCATTGTCCTGACTATTCTGCTCTGCATAGGCTCTGACTTAGCTGTTATAACATTTGATGTCCATAACTAGATAAAATGCCCCAGATGTTCTGCCTAGGCCAAAACATAGACTTATCTCTTTGGCTCTGGGCTCTGTGCTTCTGTAACTGCAGCCTAGGATTTCATTAGCTTGTTTGGCTACTGACTTTTAGAATCATAAATCTAGAGATGAAAGTCATGTTGACAGTGAGGGTTTTGCTGCCTTATTCTCAGAAATGGTTTGGAGGTAGGGGACAAAGAATAGAATAGAATGTTGGTCCTGGGATCAGGAAAACCTGAATTCACATCCTGCTTCTGACACTACTTTGTGAACCTCTGTACCTCAGTTTCCTCACTTGTAAAATGGCAATAATAATAGCATTTACCTAAGGGTGGTGGTAAAGTTCAAAGATAGTAACATATTCAAAGTGTTTTGTAAACTTTGAAGCACAATACAAATGATACCTATTATTATTGTTATTATTATTATTGTTATTATTATTATTATTATTATTATTATCATTATTATCATTACCATCACCATCTTACAGATCATTTGGTCCAAACTCCTCATTTTATAGCTGAGGAAAATGAGGTCCAGAAAAGTGAAACTCAGAACAAGTAAATAGCAGAACTGATATTTGAGGCCAGGACCTCTGGAACAGAACACACTAAGATTTGTAGATATTTTTTACATGACCTGCTTTCTAGCCACATATTCTCTCTGTTATATGTGCACAATATAAGACTCTCACAGAATCAAAGTGTTTGAAGGACCTCAGAGGCCATATACAACCTGTACGTGAAAGAAGTCTCCTCTGAGACATACTAATAAGTGATGAGATAATTTTTGCTTGAAAAACTCTAGTAAGGGAGATTAGGCAAATATCTTTCCCTAGATCACTTCCTGAAGCAGACCATTAGATCCAGTTGTTCTAATTTTCCTTGTAATAGGTATTGACCTGTTTACATCTTCTCATCTTATCCTCAAGGCAATGAGTTATCCTACTCTAATCTACTGTTTTATTAATCACCCCCTTTTAAAAATCCCTCCCCCTTCCCCCACTCCAGAGAAATAGAAGCTAAGTCTAGAATGACTAAGGAGAACAAAAAGAGACATCATTGAAGGTCTTCATCCATGGCTATCATGAGAGACTGACAAATACCTCGCTAAAATCTATAGCAATGTTCAATCAACCTGGAGAATAAGTGATTATGACAAATTGATAGAAATGGAATCCATATTTTATAAAATTAACTAGGAAGAAACTATTAATTTTCTCTATTTTACCAAGGAGTATATGGGGCTAGAGAATTGTGTGAATTATCTGCCCAAGATTCCCCAGCAAATTAGTGGTAGGGCCAAACCTGAAATCCAGTTCTTTTGGCTCTAAGTGGTTGAATTTAGTTCATCCACTAGATGTAATTTTTAAAGTGTCAAGTGAGTGCTATTTCTTCTCTCCAATTAAGAAAAGGGTCAAAGTGCAAAGCAGACTATATGTCACTGCACTCTTGTCCTCTAGGAGTAGCCTAACCCTGGCTCTGACTTGTATTGGCCCCACAAGCAAAAGAAACTCAAAGTCCTTATGCATGTAGGCAAATTTGACTTTATAATGTTACTGAGATATGGTAGAATAAAAGACCATACATGGATTATGGTTCTGGATGGGTATATCATATTCAAAAGAAAAAGGAAAGGTAAAGGGAGGAGACTTAGCATTTATTTTTAAAAGATATGCTTATGTGAGGAAATTCAGGAAAAAGAAGGAAACATGGTAGAGATCACTTGAGTAAAGACAAATAGAAGGAAAAACAAAAGTGATTTTTATCATTAGAATATACTATAGATTATGTGGAGGACTGACAAGAGGATATTATGTTTTCAATCTGATTTTCATGAACAGAGAGGACTTGGTTATTGGAGGAAGAAATGATAGGAACTCTAGGTGGGGAAGGGGAGAAATGATAGAGGACAGATTGGGGGTAAAAGTGGGGTGTGGGGACTAGGGAGAGGGTAACCAAAAAAAGGAAAAAGAATAGAAAACCATTAAAGCATTTTTAAAATGTGCAGAATAATATACTCAGGTTTTTCTTCAAACCACATAAATCTCTCATCTTTCAAAATGTGTAGAATAAAACAGAAGGAAGTCCAGAAAGAATCAAAGTAGGTCAGCTTTGAAAGTTATGTTTTTAATTCATTATATATATTTTTAAAAATTGAACTCTATATTATGGAAATCAGCAATGTCAGGAAAAATCATCTTTTTCCATTCTACTGTGTATATGGTGAAGTCCATTTTATTTGGTATTTGTAAATTCAGAAAAAAATGATAAAAAAAAAAAAGAAAGTAGATGTCTAAAACAAAGGAAGGTAAACAGACTTTCTCCCCATCCAGAAAGAAGTTTCTTTTTTTTTTAATTTTTTAAAAAAAATTTTTATTTTTTAATTTTTTTTCCATATGCTTTTGAGTTGAAAATTTTTCTCCCTTTTCCTCCCCCCCACCCTCCCCAAGATGGCGCACAATCTGACATAGGCTTTACATTTACATACCCATTAAACATATTTTCACATTAGTGAAGTTGTAAGCAAAAATTAAAACCAATAGGAGGAACCATCAGAAAGATGAAACAGAACTCAACAGAAGGTAAAAATAAGTGATAGCGATTCGACTTCCATAGTTCTTTCTTTGGATGTGGACAGTATTTTCCATCCCAAGGCCTCTGGATATGTCTTAGATCCTTGTAATGCTGAGAAGGGTTCAGTTTAACATTCTTAGTCATTGCATAACGTGGCTGTTATTGTGTACAAAGTCCTCTTGGTTCTGCTCACTTCACTCAGCATCAGACCATATAAGCCTTTCCAGGTTTTTCTGAAGTCAGCCTGTTCATCATTTCTTATAGCACAATAGTATTCCATTACATTCATATACCACAACTTGCTCAGCTATTCCCCAATTGATGGGCATCCTCTCAATTTCCAATTCTTTGCCACCACAAAAAGAGCTGCTATGAATATTTTTGTCCATGTGGGTCCTTTTCCCATTTGTTTGATCTCTTTGGGATATAGCCCTAGAAGTGCTATTGCTGGGTCAAAGGGTATGCACATTTTTGTAGCCCTTTGGGCATAGTTCCAAATTGTGCTCCAAAATGGTTGGATCATTTCGCAACTCCACCAACAATGTATTAGCCAGAAAGAAGTTTCAAGCTTCCACAAAGCCTTTTAGTCAAAAAAGAGAAAAGGAGGATTAGTCTGGTATGGAGTTTCAGCAACAGTTTCTATTCTATCCTCTGTGCCCAAATGGTCCCCAAAGCCTTGTTCCAAGAATTCTGGATCCTCTCTTTGTGTTCCCTGAACTTTTGTTCTCTCAGTTTCACAAAGTTTTCATGATCTCCCCGTTTCAAGTTCTCTATGCCTTCTATCTGGTCTGTTATTCTTTAGCCCATGATATTGCTTCCTATTTAATTTACTCAAGGGACTTGTTTGCTTCTCATAAAGGGATCACCTCATAAAGAGCTCCAATTTTATAGTTAATTTAACACTGAGTTATCAGTCTTTTCCCCCTCATTAGATACTTGGTTTCCAGAAGCAATTCCCTTCATGTTTATTAATTTTATCTGACAAAAATAATTTAAATGTATGCTTTCCATGTATCTTGTACAAAAGAATAATGAAATGAATAAGCTAAATAAGGTAAAAAAATAACAATGGTTATTTATTTGAATGGATTGATTCCAACATGGAATAGTCATTGGAAAAGCCATTTGGGTTTGTCTTCCTTTAAAAGATGGGAAGCAGAGTCACTTATTTATTCAATCATCCGTCCATCTATCTATCCATCCATTCAACCAGCATTTGTTACTTATCTATTTAGCTGACAGTACACTTTCATTTAAGACCAGGAAGTACAGAATTGAAATAGATCCTGGGAAGTATGAAAAGGAGTAGATAAAAATAAAAGTCCAACTCTGGAGTAAATCATGTTGTGAATAAGATTTAAAAAAAATTTTTTTTTTAATTTTTAGGCAGTTGGGGTTAAGTGACTTGCCCAGGGTCACACAGCTAGTAAGTGTCAAGTGTTTGGTCTGAATCCAGAGCCAGTGCTCTATCTTCTGCGCCACCTTGCTGCCTCTGTGAATAAGATTTTTCAAACCATCCTTAACTGTCTCTGAACTCTTCTCACAGTGAAGTTTTAAATTTAAAGACTTGCTGGGTGGGTATCTGGGTGAAATTGAGAACTTAAAAAGTTGTATTGATGAGAGGCAATTTATGGCAATTTACTGGCACTGTCTTTATTCCATTTAGATGACAAGAAGCCCATACCGACAATAAATGTTGAACCCTGTGTAAGCTGGACACAGACTAAAGGAAATCTGTCTTTTTACTACGTGCCACGTAAGTCCACCTCTTATGTTGTCTTTGAGTCAAAAGGGTACAAGAAACATCTTTGGTGATGCTTAAGGTCCAAATTGTGCCATTAAAATATTTTAAAATTTTGACACATACTTAATTTCTACTATATTTAGGTGTAAATTACTAGTTTAACAGTGAGCCAAAAGTAATAGTAAGAATGAAAATTATTTTGAGATCCATAGACTCATAAGATCTTAAAGTTAGAAGGGGGCCCCAAATATCCAATTCCTTCTTTTTTAATCCCTTCTTCAATTCAATTCATTTTAATTCAGTTAGAGTCTGTTCATTTAACAAACATTTATTAGATGCTACTATGGGTAAAGCACTGTGCTAGGTACTTGAGTAAAATGAAAAACAATTCCTTCCCTCAAGGAGCATATGTTCTATTGAGGATGGATATAACATATACCCAGATAAGTAAACATACAAAGTAATTTCAAGAGGGAGATCAGGAAAGGCCTTATGTAGGAGATAGCAACTGAGTTGTATTTGAAAAGAAAATAAGGATTCTAAGCGGCAATTGTGAGGAGTGTATTCTAGATGTGGGGAAATACCCATGCAAAAGTATTTTAGTAGGAAATGAGATGTTGCATATGGGAAATAGCTAGCAGGTGAGTTTGTCTGAGACAGGAGGTGTGTGTAAGAGAGTGATGTGAAATATTACTGGAAAGGCTAGTGAGGAGCCACATTGTGAAGAACTTTGAATGGCAGGCTGAGAATTTTGTATTTTTTCCTAGATTCTGCAAATACTCCAGATTTTTAAGTAGAGGAGTGACATGGTAAGAACAGTGTTTAGGAATATAAACTTGACAGCTGTATGGAGGATACTTTAGAGAGAGGAGAGGATGGAAGCAGATTGACCAATTTAGAGGCTATTATAATGGTCAGTCAACCCATCAATCGATCACCAAAGCATGATTAATCAGTTTCTATGTGCCAGGTACCATGCTTGATACTGGGGCTCCAAAAACAAAGAATGAAACAATTCCCACTCTTTTTTTTTTTAATTTGGGAAGACAATGAGATTAAGTGACTTGCCCAGGGCCACACAGGTAGTAAGTGCTATATATCTGAGGCCTGATTTGAACTCAGGTCTTCCTGAATCCAGGGCCAGTGTTCTATCCACTGCACCACCTAGCTGCTTCCCCAATTCCCACTCTTAAGAAGCTTACATTTTATCCTGCTAGACAACACGTACTTACATAATTATATATTGAATAAATATAAAGTAAATATAAGGAATACAATAAGGAAGTTAGGAAGAGAAGGGACTATCACTTGGGAGATCAGGAGTATAGGTATATAGGAGGCAGTGCTTGAGCTGTGTCTTAAAGAGGAAAGATAAGGATAATATGAGGTAAATGTACAGAGGGAGAACATTCAAGGCATGAAACAAAGCTAATCCCAAGGCAACGAGGCCATGGCTCTGGATTGGCATACCTTTTTCAAAAGAAAAAGGCAAGTAAAAAGGAGGAGTGGGTGGGAAATAGTATGGTATAGAAGATAGATAGATATAGGTATAGATTGGTATAGATAGAAATAGAGTGGGATTTATGAAGAACGGAGACAACAGTTAGGCTAGAATGAAGAGTTCAGCAAAAACAATAAAGTAAAATGGCACTAGAAAGATAGGCTAGGGCCTGGTTGTAAACTTTAAAAGCCAAATGGAGACATTTGTATTTCATTCTAGAGGTGAAGGAAGTCACTGGAATTTATTGAGTAGAGGAGTGACTTGGTCAGATCAGTGCTTGAGGAAATCACTTTGGCATCTGCGTGGAGGGCTGTTGTGATAATCTAGGTGAGAAGTGAGGAGGGCCTGAACCAAAGTTTCTGCTAAGTAGAGAGTAATGCATGTAGAAATGTCAAGAATTGGCAATTAACTGTAGATGTTGGGTGAGGGAGAGTGAGGAATACAGCATAAGGTCAAAGTTATGAGATTGGGTCTCTGGACTCTAGAAGAATGATGGCGCCTTTGACAGTAGTAGGGAAGTTTGGAAGACAGGTCCCTGTGCAGTGAAAGAGAATGAATTCTGTTTTGCATGGATTGAGTTTTAGATGTATCTGGGACATTTAGTTTGAAATGTCTAATGAATACTTGGTGTTATAGTTCAGGGAAGGGCATGGGGCCATTTGTAGCTCTGTTAGTTATCTACATAGAGAGGACAATCAAATGCATGGAAGTTGATGGGGTCACAAGGAGGGTATAGAGAAGGAAAAAAGGCAGCTAGGTGCTACAGTGGATAAACTTGCGTATACTGAGCCTGAAGTCATTATGACCTGAGTTCAAATCTAGATTCAGGCACTTACTAGCTGTATGACCCTGTGCAAGTCAGTTAACCACTGTCTCAGTTTCCTCAACTTTTTTTTTTAAGCAATTGGGGTTAACTGACTTGCCCAGGGTCACACAGCTAGTAAGTGTCAGGTGTTTGGTCTCAGGTCGGATTTGAACCCAGGTCCTCCTGACTTCGGGGCCGGTGCTCTATCCACTGCACCACCTAGCTGCCCCAAGTTTCCTCAACTCTTAAAATGAGGATAATGATAGCACCTACTGCGCAGAGTTGTTGTGAGGAACAAATGAGATAATATTTTAAAAGCACTTAACACACTGCCTGGCACATAGTATATGCTTAATAAATGATTGTTCCCTCTCTCTTAATCATACCCCAATGGACTGCCAAGGTACACCTACATTTAGAGAGCATGTTTTGGATGGAGAATGAGCAAAAGAGACATAGGAGTGGTCAGACAGACAGGAGGAGAACCAGAATAGAAAAATACATGAAAAATCAAGAAAAAAGAAAGTATTCAAGAGGAGAGTATGGTCAGCAGCATCATATGCAGCAATTAGGTCAAGAAGGGTGAGGCCTGAGAAAAGACCATCATGTTTAGAAATTAAGAGATGATAGCTCTGGAGGGAGCAGTTTCAATTGAAAGACACATAGGAAGCCAGATCACGAAAGGTTGAAGAGTAAGTGAGAAAAAAGGAGGGGAGGTCATGAGTGTAGACAGCTTTTACTACTAATTTGCCTGGGAAAGGGAGGAAAGAGATGGGGTGACAGAATGAAGTGATGATAGGATCTAGAGAAAGGTGGTGGGTTTTTTTTTAAACATAGGAGGACTTGAACATATTTGAAAGTAGTAGGAAAGAAAACCGTAGATAGGGAGATATTGAAGATTAGAGAGAGATGGGATGATTTTGAAGGCAATGTGCTGTAGAAGATGGATGGGGATAGTATCAAGGGCAAATTTAGGGGTGTTGAGCTTGTCAAGGAGAAGAGCTACCTCTTCAGACTCATATCTCCAAGATTCTAATTGTCTTTCTAGTGAGTCATTTGTATACTGTTAATTGGTTGTCATATCTATAAAGACTTAGGAACATTCCTGGTCAGAATTTTTTGTGTTTTAAGATAGGAGGAGAAGGCCTCTTGATTATGATTTAGAAAAGCAGCTTTGGCAATGGAAATTCACTGGAAACAAAATCCAAGAAAGCAAAAAGTAGTAAAAAAAAAACCCCATTACCTCAAATATCCATATACAAATACCTGAAATTAAGGCAAGAAACAAGAGCAATTGAAGGTCCTAATGCAAAGATGCAAATGCAGATTAAACTTCCTGTTTCACTGAGACTTGGGTTGGATAAAATCAGTGATTGGACCATGGCTCTGGATTGGCATACCTTTTTCAAAAGAAAAAGGCAGATAAAAAGGAGGGGTGGGTGGGAGATAGTATGGTATAGCAGATATATTTTTGAGGAAATGCAAAAACCAGAGAGAGGAAACATTCTAGAGAGTGATTTTACCTAGTGATTTTGTCATTGGAATGATATTCAGACCACCAAGAGAACAAGAAGAAATAATGATTTTGAGAACAGATCATATGCTTGGCACAGAGGTGTGATGAGTAATGATATGGGATTTCAGTTTTCCAGATATCTTCTGTCTCTCTTTCTGAAAAAGTAGAATGGTTAATAATTTTTCTACTTTCTTCAGTTATCATTTCACTCTTCAGAAGTTGGAGGAACCAACAAAGAGAAATTCCATCCTGAATCTGTATCTTACTAACAGGGAGGAACTAGTTACTAGGGTAGAAATAATGAGAATGCTGGGAGAAAGTGACCATTCCTTCCTAGAGTTGTGATAAAGGAGAGGAAATCTGAGTATAGTTGGTCACATACTCTAAATATTGGGAAATCAGGTTTCAAGGGGTTCAAAGGAAAAATAGGTAAGATTTATGTAGTAAAATACCTTAGCTGTAGTCAGCTGAAAGATGGGGAGATGATTCAGAATGAAATTCTGAAGACACAGAAATGAATAATTCTACTGAGAAAAAATGGAATTTGTGTGAAGAAACAGATGTGTATACATGGAGAACTCATCTACCAACTTAGATTTTTTTTTTTTTTTGGTTTTTGGTGAGGCAATCAGGGTTAAGTAACTTGCCCAGGGTCACACAGCTACTAAGTGTCAAGTGTCCGAGGGTGGATTTGAACTCAAGTCCTTCTGACTCCAAGGCAGGAGCTCTATCCACTGAGCCATCTAGCTACCCTCCAACTTGGATTTAAAGAAGAAATATACTGAGGACAGAAGCACACCAGGTAATGGAGGATGAATCCATGAGAATGTGGCATAGTCCTGGGAAAAGAGTGTAATGAATGCTAAACCTCAGAATGGAACTGAGCCTGGTGAGGGAAGTTAAGCTTACCAAAAAGTATTTTTTTAAGCTATGTTAGGAAAAGAAGGAAGATAAAAGAAGGGATAGAACTTTTGCTTGGGGAGAGATGGGGCAATGATAACTGACAACAGAAGGAAAATAGAGGTGCTCATCTTATTTCAGTTTTCATTGAAAAGGAGAATGACCTTTGTGCCAGAAATAAAGGAATAAAAATGGCTAATGGAGAGTGGATACCCAAGATTAGTAAAGGGATAGTAAGAGAGCACCTAGTTGCCCTTATTGAATTCAAATCATCAGGCTCAGATGGACTACAGTCTCAGGTCCTGAAGAAATGAGCAGATGTAATCGTTTAGCCAATGTTTGAAAGCACACGGAAAACAAGAGAGGTACCACAAGATTGGAGAAAGTCAAATGTCCTAATTTCTTTTTTTTTAGTTTAAATTCAATTTTATTCCATTTTCACATCAAAATTGTTTTATTCTTCCCTTTCCCCTTCCCCTTCTCCACCCATTGAAAAGGCAAGAAAAACACAACCCATCACAAATACGTAGAAAGTTTGGACACAATGGTAGAAATTCATAGCAAGACAAAATCTTACAAAGTTAGAGCTGGAAGGAAATACAACAACCTTTTCCAACCTCCTAGTTTTAGAGAGGAGGAGATTGTGGTTCAGAATAGAAAAGAAGTTTTTCAAAGATTATGCAAATAATAATGGCTGGTGACTACTTGTACCCAATTTTTCAGACTCCAAGTCTCTCCCACCCACAGAATTCAGTTCTATTCAGCTGACTTGGATGGCTTACCTCCATTTTGTAGGCTTCAGCAACCACCTTCATAGACATCTCTCTTCCCTGACTCAAGGTATTATGTGAAACCTTGAAATAAAGTTGAGCTGTCATCTTTTATCTCTCTTTTTGATGTCTCTATGGTAGCTCTAAACCTTATCCCAAGAATTTTCTATGCTTAAGATGTTTCCTTTACCTAATTTCTTTCTCTAAAGGAAAGAGGACATAGTATGCAAACAATAGACCTGTGAACTTGACTTTGATTGCTGGGGAAATTCTAGAATGGATCATTAAAGAAATGACTAGTGGACATCTAGAAAAGACAGTGGTGATTATAGAGATCCACCATGGTTTCATCAATAACAAGTCATATAAGACTATCCTTTCATTTCCTTTTTTGACAGTATTACTAAATTAGTAGGTGAGGGGAATATTGTGAATTTAGTTTGCCCAGATCTTGGCAAAGCTTTTGTTTTGATCTCATACTGTTCTTGTGGATAGGATGGAAAGATATGAATTACATACTAATTCAATCAAATGGATTCACAACTGATTAGATGGCTGAATTGAAAGAGTAATTGGTTTAATGCCAAGATGGTAGGAGGCCTCCAGTGGTGTACCCTGGGATCTCTGGTTGTTCCTGTATTGCTTAATAGTTTTATCAATGACTCGGATAAAAACAAAGATTGTATGATCAATCAAATTTGATGACACCAAGCTGGGAAGGATGGTTAACAGGATGGATGATCTTGACAGGCTAGAGCATTGGGCTGAATCTAATAAGATGAAATTTAGTAGTGATGTTTCAGAATAGTCCTATTCTTGGCTACAATCAACTTCCTAAGTACAAGATGGGGAAGGCATAATTAGATAGCAATTGTTTTGAAAAAGATTTGGAGGGGTTAGTGGACTTCAAGGTCAATATGAGTCAGCAGTGTGATATGGCAGTCAAAAAAGCTAATGTGATTTTTGGGCCTCATCAAGCATACAGAGAGCTGTCTTATTATCTCTTTACTAATTTTGGGTATCCGCTCTCTATTATTTATTTTATTATTATTTTTATGGCTGGATGATGATTTTTTAGGTAGTTTATACAGTCCCCAATCAGTGTGAATTAGGATTTCCAAGAAGTGGTCAAATTATTCAATTTCTCACTGAGTATTTCTGCTGGGCTGGAACCAATGCCCACATTTTACATGATTGTAATTTCAAATAATGTGAATTCAAATACATGTGAAAACAACCCAAAATTTATTATTTGTGCTGATTGAGATGTAGCTTTCATCCATAGGTTGGATTAGTTGAATGCTGAGATTGCTTGCAACAACAGAAAAAAATTCTGGAGAAGAAGCAGGGTGATAAGGCTATTTAAAGAAAGTGTCCTGTTTTTTTCTTGTTATCAAATGTAGTCAGGTTAGTGAAAACAACAACTGCTTGTGGTGATGGTGATTATCGAAGCCCTAGGGGCAACAGTGAACAGTGTCTTACTGGGATGAGGGGAATGGAAGGGAATAAATATTTATATAGGCTTTACTATGTGCTAGGCACTTTTTATAAATATTACCTCATTTGATCCTTACAACAACAACTCTGTGATGTAGGGGCTATTTTCAGCCTCATTTTAGTTGAGGAAACTGAGGCAAATAGATGTTAAGTGAGTTACCCAGGATTACACAGCTATATGTATCTGAGGTTAGATTTGAACACAGGTCTTCCTGACTCCAGGCCCAGTGTTCTATCCACTGCACCACTGGCTATGTGATTATAAAGACATTTCAGCTCTGGTTTTCTCTCGCTAAGCAGTTGTCTTCATGTAGTGACTGAGAAACTAGAAACTAGATATCTCATACCTAAATATGAAATAAATATAAGCTGAGAAAATATGGTTTTGTGCTTTGTCATAATATTTCCTTACCGCAATTAATGAGAGTGAGAGAGTATGCTGAGAACCCAGGAATAATAACAAATAAGTCCACTGTAATCCCAGCCATAAAGCAGACTATATGGTTGATAGATGGGTCAGTTACCTAATAAGATGTTTTTGAATTTCTACTTGGGTTAAGAGAAAAGATACATATTTCCTTCTCAGTAACACTATCAGGATTCGTTAATATTTTTATTCTGCCTTAAGCAAATCCCTTGTTTCCAACAATATTAATCTCTCAGTCAAGGTCTACAAGGAATGAGACCCTTCATATTCTTCATTTAGCTTATTGTTATTAAAACATACTTAATATTACCATGTTTTCTCAGGTGTACTCTGATGAAAGTTGAGAAATTATAAGTAATTTCAAACACAAAAGTGGCCTTGGATATTGTACCTTGTTAAAGTCCTGATTCTAATTGTGTTTGGATAATTGGTTCCTCCACTCTGGACTTCCTCTGATTCCATTTTATTGAAAGGGGCTTAGTCTGGGTTTTTAAAAGCTATACTGGCCCAGCACAAGCTCTGGATAGTCTTACCAAGCTAGAAGGCCTTCAAGACTTGTTCTAGTGATGAGTTAGGTTTGCTTGACATATGTGAACCAGTCTCATAACTAGGATGTTGTTCCCCTGTATCATAAATTCTGAGGATCTCAGCAACTGATAAAGCATGATATTACTTAGGTAGAGACAGTATGCAAGTTGTACCAGTTGAGGGAGTATGGATCCTTGACATATTGAAGGATGTACCAATAATGTGTTTAAGACAGATATTTTATTTGTAAACTCTTTGCAAATCTTAAAGCACTATATAAATGATAGTTATTATTGTTGTTATTAATAATAATAATATTTTGTCAGATAATCTAGATATCCTGGGTACCCAAACTGCAAAATAAATAGGTCTCTAGAGTGCCAACAATTCTGAGACTGTATAGACTGTATAGAAAAGGAAGAGGAAGGTTTCTGCACTTTTGCCATGTGTACCAGTTGAGTTGAGTAACTGATTCTTAGCAAAACATGTTGTTGCCTTTGGATTATTCATGGTAATCAGGGAGGGAAAAATGTATATATGAATTTCACAGAGTCCACAAATCTAACATTAGCTAAAAGATCTTCTCACCAACTCTTTTACCATGGCTAAGAGAAGACACAGAATTACTACTGTAACAGTGACTACTCTGTTCCCCCACTGCCTGAAGGCCAGATATGTTACATTTCAACTCTTCCCCAGGGTACTTAGGTATCCTTAAGAACATTTGGGGGTATCTAGTCTGCCATGGCTCGAGCCCTCACCAACTGTGTTCTCCAATTTTAGGATTTCACAGCACCCCAGTTCCATTTGACCACTTAACAATCATATTTGCTTTTACACGGGAATGTTTACTTCAAAGGTATAGTAAGAACAAAGATACAAACACACCCCTCTCCCCATTCTTTCAGAATAGCATACAGATACAGAGCAGTGTTCTCCCCAGGAGGAAGAAAGGAAAACTTTGGGAGGGAGTTAGTGCAAGGTAGTTACTTGGAGGGAGGTAGTTTAAGCATTATCACCCCCCCTTTTAAGCATTAATTTTCAGTTTATTAGATGAAACAAACTTTTTTTCTCTCTCTCTTTTTTTCCTTTTTTTGGTGAGGCAATTGGGGTTAAGTGACTTGCCCAGGGTCACACAGCTAGTAAGTAGTAAGTGTCAAATGTCTGAGGCTGGATTTCAACTGAGGTCCTACTGACTCCAAGACTGGAGCTCTATCCACTGTGCCACCTAGCTGCCCCCAGATGAAACAAACTTGCAATGTAGTCTGCATGAATACAAAATCAGCTATCTATAGCAAATGATAAGGAAACAAGATGAGGATGGGAGAGAAATACATTGAAAAAAATTCCCTTAGCATAAAACATTATTATAAAGTATTATATTGAATTGGTATATTATCCCCCCCCATTTTCTCTAAGTCAACAGTAACATTGTGTTAAATTTAATATATGCTTAAAAACCAAGCTATGCATAATAGAGATTCATGGTTTCATATACAGTATTTTTTCCTGTTCATTGCTAATGGAAATATTTATGTTTGTTAAGTTCATAACAAAACTATTTAAAAAGAATGGTTATAAATACTTTTTAAAATTTTCAATAATTAAATTAAAATTTAATTTTTAAAATAATTTTTTTGATTAAAACCTAGCAGAAGATATATTTCTTCTTTATTCTCCTATTTGTCTTGATATTTTTCTTCTTTTTATAGGCATAGAATGTATATTTTTCACTTCTAAACACTGTGTGATAATAGAATAATAGAAATACTTTTTTTTTATAGGGAGAGACATGAGAGACCTATATTTTAACATTCATGCAGTATTTAAATCAGCTGTAATATTACCACTGAAGAAAGAAGTCATATGCCATGGGGCTGATGGTAATTACTCATTCTGCAGAGTTTTAAAGGGAGGTAAGCATTTGTTTCATTTTATTTTTACTATATGAGGCAGCATGGTATGGGATCTAGAGAGCTAGCTTTGGAGACAGAACAACCTGGATTCAAGTTCTGCCTCCTTTATCTACTGGTTGAATGACCCCAGACAAGTCATTCTAACCTTTCTGTACCTTGAGTAGCTCTATAAGACTATAAATTGGTGAGCAGTTGCTGATCTGAACTAGTATAGGTAATTCCTTCTCCTGATGAAATCACAGATCTGGACTATCTAGAACTGTATCTATAATATGTCTATCTATATTCATCTATTTATATCTCTACCATTTCCATCTCTATCCTTATCTATATCAACATCATCTGTCTACATAGCCATATCTACATTGATGTCATCTGTATTTATATCATCTCTTGCTCTCTTTCTTTCTCTTGCTCTTGCTTTCACTCTCTGAATTCCCTCTCCCAAAGAAATCACAAGTCTTAAAGGTGTGTGTTTGTGTGTATACATCTGTATGTGTCTGTGTAAATACATAAATGTAATCATGGCTCCATCAAAGCACATAGCCCTTAGGAGTTAGCAAAACAATATTTCGAAGTACATTAAAATTTTAAGAATGTAATTTTAAAAAGAATATTGAATTCAGACATAGTTACCACTAAAGAGATAAATACAACCTGTAACATATATTTATACATGTATATAGTATTATATAATAGCTGTATATATACAAACATATATGTACACATATGTATACATGCATATGTGTGTATATATATATATCTGTGTGTGTGTGTGGTGGTTGTTGTTGTTCAGTTGTTTGTCAGACGTGTCCAACTCTTCATGACCCCATTTGGGATTTTCTTGGCAGAGATACTGGAGTAGTTTGCTATTTCCTTCTCCAGCTCGTTTTACAGATGATGAAACTGAAGCAAATAGGGTTAAATGACTTGTCCAGGGTCACACAGCTACTAAGTGTTTGAGGCCAAATTTGAACTTTCTGAATCTAGACCCAGCACTCCATACTGTACCATTTATCTGTGTGTGTATACACATATATTATATATGCATGTGTGTGTGTGTGTGTGTGTGTACACACCCACATACACACACCTATTGTTTCTCCTTTGGCATAACTGATTGAAGATTATTCTCTGCTCTTTCTATTTTTTCAAATTAAATTTTAATTTTTTCCATTCAGCAAAAATCTTCTTCAAAAATCTTCTTTTGAAGGGAGAGAATTTGGAACTCAAAGTTTTAAAAATGAATGTTAAAAATTGTTTTTACCTGCAACTGCAAAATAAGATACACAGGCAAGGGGGTATAGAAATCTATCCTGCCCTACAAGGAAATAGAAGGGGAAGGAGATAAGAGAAGGGGGAGTGTGATAGAAGAGAGGGCAGATCAGGGGAAGGGGTATTCAGAATGCACATTGTGTTGGGGTGGAGGGGAGGGGAAAGAGGGGGAGAAAATTTGGAACTCAAAATCTTGTGGAAGTGAATGTTGAAAACAAAATATTAATTAATTAATTAATTAATTAGAAAAAAATCTCTTCCTCCTAATTCTCTTCCCCCCCAACCAAAACTCTGTTACTTTTTACTCTGATGCTCTGTTTACTGTTACTCTGTTATTTTTGAAGTATTTATTTTAACAAAAATCTTGAAACACTCTTCAAAGACACACAGATTTAAAAATATTTCCACCACCCTTCCTCCCAAGATTCACATGAAAGTTAAACACAGTGCAAGAGAGGAGAAAAGAAACATTATTGAAAAAAGGAGAAATGAAGCAAATTCCATTTATGGGTTTATTGTATTCATTCTACTTTAGGACTGTATTTCTGGTTCTTAAATGACTTTGAGATCCCTCCAATATATTTTGATGTGAGATTTCCATTTCTTCAGCACCTGATTCTTTGCTTTATTCCACCTCTTTCTTTTGCTTCTTTGGTCCTATTTTTGTTGGCAAATCTCCATTTTCCAAGTTACACAAATCCAGTTTGCCATCATTCTTATTTCCTGTAGCTTTTAGCCCTTGCAAAAGAATTTCTTGTAAACTCTGATAATGATGTTTTTCTATGTAGCCCAATAATTTCGCTTCTTCCATAAATTTAGCAATTTCATCTGGCTTATTTTTCTCAGGAAAACATGTGTCCATCAAACTTGCAACATTTTCTTGGTAGCTAATTTTGGAATCTCTGATATAATAAGGATCTTTCAAATTGTCCTCCCAAGGGAGAAGGCTTCTGAGCCACTGGATCATGCAATAACCTAGTATTTCCAAGTCATCCATCATGATGGTGCCACACCCTTATGTGCATCAATACTTGTATCTTCAGTGTTTCCCTTTTAGGGTCTTTTTTGTATGCTTTATGAACTCCTTCTGGGCAATATTGGTAATTGAGGCCATAATGTGCTAAATATACCCGGTTAGGATTCTTATAGCTCAAAAGAAGATTTGAGGACTTGATATCTCCACATATATAGTCAAGCAAATCAGATTTCTGCATTGTCCATGTCAAAAGGCTTACATTCATGTCTCATTCTGTACCCTGAGTCTTTCATCTCTGTGTCAGGAGGTGGTAAGAGAAACTCACGGGAAAAGTAAATGATAGACTACTAGATCTGGAGTCAAGAAAATCTGAGTTCAAAGCCAGTCTACCATAAAGACATATACCAGCTGTGTGATTCTAAGCAAGTCACATACCCCCTTTCTACCTCAGTTTCCTCATCTATAAAATGAATATAATAATAGCACCTACCTACTAGGATTGTTGTGAGGATCAAGTGAGAAAATAAAGTGTTTTGCAAACTTTAAAGAAATATAATTAGAGATTGCTTTCAGGTCTGGGGAGATTGAGGACTTTATGGAATTTTTTTTTTTTGTGAGGCAATTGGGGTTAAGTGACTTGCCCAGAGTCACATGTGAATGTCATATGTCTAAGGCTGGAGTTGAACTGAGGTCCTCCTGACTGCAGGGCCGGTGTTCTATCCACTATGCCACCTAGCTGCCCCTAACTTTATGGAAATTTTCATCTTCTATCTCTGTACCTTTATATAAGGTGTCCCCCATGTCTGGAATGCTCTCTCTCCTTACCTCTTAGAATCCCTGCCTTCAACACTCAGATCAAATGCTTTCTTCTGCAAGAATGCATCTTCTCTTGCAAGGAATATCGTCTACATACATTTTTATGTACACATTGTCTCCCCTTTTAGAATGTAAGCATCTTGAGGGCAGAGACTGTTTCCCCCCACTTTTTTCTTTGTATTCCTAGGGCTTAGTAAAGTGCTTTGTGCAAAATAAGTGCTTAATAAATTCTTTGCTGATTAATTGGTTGACTCATGGAAAAGGTGGTGCCTAAGCTGGATGTTGGAGGAAGAGAAGGATTTTAGTAAATGCAGGTGGAGGAAGAAGAGAGCAACCCTAAAATGTACAGAGGTGAGAGAAGGAAGCATGAGATCAGGGAACAAAGAGTTTGTGCTTCTGTTTGTGTGGGCTATGGAGAGCCAGTTTTTGGACAAAAGAGCAACATGGTCTAATGTGTCATTAGCAAATTTATCTTGTCCATCAGACAATTATTTTTGCAGCTCTGAGATGGATGGATTGGAGAGGGGGAGATTGTGGAGGTGGAGAAATCAGTAAGGAGATTATTACAATGGTCCAAGCAGGAGGTAATGAGGGTCAAACTGGAAATGGTGGGTATGTGACATAAGAAAATAAAGGATAAGAAAGGGAAAAATCAAAGGTGATTCTAAGGCTTTGAACTTGGGTACTTAGGAAGATGATGGTGCCATCAATAAAAATAAATATATCCAGCAAACAGTTGGGTTGCAGGTCTGGAATTTAGTGGCAACAAGAGAGCTCTGGAAGTCACCTGCACAGAGGTAGTGATTGAAGCCATGGGAATAGAAGAGATTGCCAGGAGAGAAGATTGTAGAGAGATGAAAGAGGAGGGCTGAAGATGAAATATGGAGGGATTCCCCCCACTTAAAAAGTGGAGGAGGAAGAGAAAGCCATGATGGAGACTGAAAGGGTGAAGCTGAGATAGGAGGAAGTATCAAAGACGGAATGTTCAAAGACACATGCCGTAGAAAGTTCAAGAACAAGAAGTGAGGAAAAATCTTTCGTTTTGGCAACTGAGGGAACTGGAGACCTCAGAAAGAGCTTCTGTGGGGACAGAAGCCAGCTTGCAGGAAACTGAGAAGTGACTAGGTTACAAAGGAAGTGCAGGAAGTTAGCAAAGACTGCTCTTTGGAGAAGTTTAGCAGTGATGAGAATATGAGTCAGTTTTAGTCCTTTGTGTCCAGATAGTAAAATTTCCTTTGATTAACAAATGTGGATTCTGCTCAAACTTGATCCAGGGTAGCTAAAAACCTGGGAAACTTACTGCTGGTAAGAGATGTATTATAGAGGCAGGATTTAGAACAAAGAATTTGAGGTGCAGGCCTAGAGTTTCCTGTTGGCTCTGGGGTGCAGTGGAGAGTTCTGGACCTTAAGTCAAGATTTCGGGAAGACTCTCTGACTCAGGTTTTCTTCTCTTTAAAATGGAGACTAATCATAGCTCTAACTTTTTTTTTAGGATAAAAATGAGACAATATTTGTAAAGTACATTGTAAGCCTTAAAGTACTGTGCAAATGCTAGCTGTTATAATTAGCAGTCATGGGGCATCGAGGTGGCACAGTGAATAGAGCACCAGCCCTGGAGTCAGGAGGGACCTGAGTTCAAATCCGGCCTCAGACACATAATACTTATTAGCTGTGTGACTCTAGGCAAGTCACTTAACCCCAATTGCCTCACACACACAGACACAAAAATTTTAAAAATTAGTTAGCAGTGACACCTAGCTTTTTTGTTCTTGTTTTTCCACAACTACTGATTGGCCTGAGAGCCACAGTGGGTATTGTTGGATGACGGGAAACCCATGGTGGCTCAGATTTACACATTCTCATCTTTGGCAGAATCTCCTCATTCACCCAGTGGATTTTGATGGCACAGGATCACCATAAAGGGTTAGGTGGAAATTATCAGGAATTTCTAACCCTAAATCAGATAGTTTAGAATCTAGACAGAGGCTCTAATTAGCTGACTGTCTGGCTGTTGTGTTCTAAATCCAGTTGGTTCCTGGAGGCTAAGTCTCTGGGAACTAATAGATCATTCTTCTAAAGGAAAGGCTACTTTTGTTGGCTTGATGACTCTGTGTGTGTGTGTGTGTGTGTGTGTGTGTGTGTGTGTGTGTGTGTGTGTGTGTCTGGGTGAAGGGCCTATGTGCCAAATTGAAAGAGCAGCTTAGTCGGCAGACTATAAACTAAGAGAGATATGGCAGAGCCTAGCCCTGCTCTTTTAAGGAAAAGAGATAGCACCCCAACTTGAGGACTCCAGCTGAAGCCAAATAGGTAGCAGCAGTAAGAATAACCTAGGAGAGAAAGCAAATAATGCAGAGATACCAACCAGTGGGAAGCAGCAGAGACGAGACCTGTTACCCAGATGTAGACCTAGAGGAGAACAACCTGATGATATCACGAGAAAACACTGACAGCCCTGCAGAATCAGAAGTATGAGTTTGTTGTCTTTTCATTCATGGATCCTGGTCATAAATTTTCTCTATGTGTGCGCACATCCAATTTTGTCTGTGGAGGGCTCTGCTTAAGATTATAGCCTAAAAGATATATGAAAACTATGAGATCAGTTCACTTTTCTGCAAAATCCATGTTGTTTATTAATAATTTTTTGTTTTGTTTTGTAGAGACCATCAATACAACATTGTTCTTTTCCTTCTCATTCCTAAAGTTTCCTAAGGTATTTTTCAAAATAAATTTCAATGTTTCCTACTCTACTGGAATAATGTATTAAAAATATAAAAGAATTAATTTTGCACCCCAAAAATAGCCATTAAAGATTAATGTTAAAAAATTACCTTGTGGTGGTGTTATTAGGTAGACAGGAAGTGTGGTGTGATGTAGTGGTATCAGACCATTCATGAGGATCTTTGTGGGCCACATATTGACTTAGAAAACTACCTATTAACATTATCTGTGTTCTATTGTATTTTTATTTTTTGGTTAGTATTTCCTAATTACATTTTAATCTGGCTTGGGGTTCATTCCAGAGTGAGGTGATTTGACACCTCTGATGTAGTAGATGGAGTGATGGAATTAGAGTCAACATAGACAGAATTTAAACCAGCCACTGTCTATAAGCGATCTTCACTTAATCTTTTGAGATTTGAGATCATACCAATGTAAGATTGACAATGTGAGATTTTCTCTTTTGAAAGGTGTCCAACTTATTTGACTAAAAATGATTCAGGCATATATTGGAATCATACTTTATATCCAATCATTTTGGTATCAAAAAGTCTCAAGTCCATTTTATGTAACTTTCTATGGCACCTGAAATGATCCTGAATGTTTTTTATTGCTTAGTCTGATGAAAAAGCACAGCATTTTCTTACCAAGTTAAATATAATTTGTGTATGTATGTGTGTGTGTGTGTGTGTGTGTGTGTGTGTGTGTGTGTGTGTGTGTATGAAAGATTTTATTATTAGGCATAGACTGAGGCTTACACCTTTGGGGAAGAAATATACAACCTTAAAGAATACTGTAAATGTGGATGCTTATGTATGTATATATATATATATGTTTAGTTTATAACTTCATACATTTCTTACTTTAAGTTACTTTTCTTTGTGAAGAATGGAAATTTTCTTAAGTTTCTGGCCCTTGAGTCATAAATTATTCCTAAAGTTTTGAAATTCCAAAGAATTGGTGAAAAGAAAATGGTAAAAAAAAAGATACATATTTACAGCTTCCCTTTTCTTACATTATTCAATTTTAACAGCCTTGGGGTAGAGGTCCATTGCAGTTGCAAGTTCTCTAACCCATGCAACTGGAGAAAATTCCAGGACCTTGGGTCCCTAGCTGGAGCCATGGAAGAGGCAAGGGTATAACCTCTTGGCCTTGCCCTGAGGAGGTGGCAATCACAGAGAAGAACCAAGAATCTGAGTGGTAGGGATTACCTTCTGGTAATCCTAGCCTTCTGGTGGAGCTCCTGAACTCCACCCAGTGTCATGAGTTGGTGATCTCCTGAAGAGGTGGTCTCCTGGATCTCGTTGAGTTCAAGAGAATTAAAGGACTCAGGCACATAGAAAAGACAAAAGAGAATTCTTGGGTACTGTGAGATTCTTGGGAAGAAAAGCATCATGCGTGTGCCCCTGGAATTGAAAGAGCAGCAAGGGACTGTTATGATATGCTAGAATAAATGATCTTGACTTTGCCCCACTCCATTTCCTGAGTTATTTGGACAGTATAGGAACTCTCCTCTTCATTTTCAGATACATGGTTGAGAGTACATGCAATTAAAATGTGTTCTTGCCCCAGGGCAGACATTAGAATCTGCTAGTGTGGGGCATGGGAAGGGGGAAGCAGGCAGCTGTGTATATGCACTGCCTTCTCCCCACTCCCTATTAGTGGACTTCAGCTCTTTGGCTCTGTGGTCTATGCCCAACTCTCCCAAGCTCTCCCTGAAAAAGGAGAAAGGGCCAACTCAACAACCAAGGCCCCCATTTTTTTTTGTTTGTTTTCTTGTCAGGCAATTGGGGTAAAATGACTTGCCCAGGGTCACACAGCTAATAAGCATCAAGTGTTTGGTCTGATGCCAGTTTTGAACTCAGGTCCTCCTGACTTCAAGGCCAGTGCTCCATCCACTGTACCACCTAGCTGACCCTAGAACTTTTTTTTTTTTGGCAATTGGGGTTAAGTGACTTGCCCAGGGTCATACAGCTAGTGTCAAGTGTTTGGTCTGAGACTAGATTTGAACTCAGGTCCTCCTGACATCAGGATTGGTGCTCTATCCACTGCATCACCTAACTGCCCCAAGGCCCCCATTTTAGGGGAGTTACTGGATATTCTCCAGTTGCTAGTATTACTGGGTATATCCCAATAGCTATCTCCTAATTCTCTCAGTGAGGTTATCAGTGGATATGACCACATTCTCCCTAGGAAAAAAAAAAGATCAAAGCCCCAGACAAAGGTTAACTGAGTTGTAGTGTCATCAAGATGATCAATTACCTACATTTATTTTAAAATAAAATTTATGATCACTGAATGCAAAGATATAGTTTCAGCACTTTAGGAATTGAGAAAATTATGATTAACTCAGAATTGAAATGGTTTACTTTTAATCTTTGAAAAATGAAATATTTGGAGAATGAAATAGTTTTTTAGAAAAATGTATGCACATCATGTACTGTATTAATCATACTCCACATTCTCTGTTTTAGGGATTCTATATTCTTATTGCAGAAGCCTTCTCTGGTGGTATAGAAGACTCGCTTTTTTGTTGTAATATTACACTCAAACTCAAATAATAATTTTATTCAAAAAATAAATTGATTTTAGAAAAATGAAATGACTTTTTAATCAACAAATATTTATTGAGTAGAAGATACTGTAAAGGATATTAAAAAAGTATATGACATGCTCCAGTAGGGAAAAGATGAACAAATATAAAACATTTGGGAGAATAATATGATATAGCACATAACTAAGAAATAGGTTGTACAAGTTCTATCTGCAGATTCTTTATTTGTTCAGAAAAGAAAGAGATCAACAGTTTTAGATGAGATAGGGAGGGCTGAATAGATAATGTAGGGCTTGTCCTTGGGCTTTCAAGGATGGGATGAATTTGGATAAATAGAGAGGAAGGAAAAAGGACATTCTGAGAGAAGGGAATAGTGTGAACAAAAGTGGGAGTGAACATGGTGTATCATTTACAAATTTCAAGATTATAGAAACATAGATTTAGAACTAAAAGAGAGATTAGAGGTCATCTAGGCTAATCCCTTAAATTTATAGATGAGGGAACAAAGGTCCAGGGGAATGAAAGGTGTTGTCTAGATACACTTGCATATATATATTTATATATGAATATGTATGCACATGTATACATACATACATATGAATTATATATAATCTATAATTGCTTACATATACTATTGACCTCAGTCACCTAATCATCCTTAGATAACACATTTCATTTTATATATATTTAGAATATATGTTTCATTATATATGTACACTAAGATCTCTGTCCATATATATCTTAGTGTGTGTGTATATATGTGTGTGTATGTGTACACATACATAATGTAATAGAAAGACTATGGGACATGACCTAGATTTGTCATTTAATAAACAAATTAGAGGAGCATAGCAATTTCATGTACAAGAGACTGGCTGATGGGGGACCAGTCCTTAGAGCACGTACACTGTGTTTTGCTTACTGCCAATCCATGTGTAGGGTTTATTGAGCTGACTTCTAGAAGCCAGCTTATAATGGGAGGAACCCTGCCTGCAATTAAGAACATTTGAAGATATGCTGCAACTTTCTTGTCATCTTACTGTATGGTGAAGAAAAGCCTTTCTATTGGCTGCAGAGCTGGAAATGAAAAAGCATACAAAAGATTTTAATGGAGAAAATTAGTTTTTCTCTCTCTATTATGAATTTTGAGTGAGAGAATCCCATTCTTTTCACTTGAGATGATGTACAACTGTAAACACTTTGCCTCTTTGTATTTGTTTTTCCCAGTGCTTAGATAAGTATTCATAGAGATGGCATTGACTAGACTGTGAATGTGTAAGCTTCTAAAGGTTGGTAGAATTACCAAAGGTCTAGCAACTTAGCTCAGGAATGCACTAGACTTGTAGAATGACCTGCTTGACGCTGCCCAGAGAAGGATCAACCTGGGAGCTGAGACACTATATCCTGCAAGCAAAGGAGTGACTCATCCATTGGCTATACTGTAAGCTAAAGTGAATTTGGTGGTGGGGAGAATATAGGTACTACTTTAAGTCTGAGGCCAAGCTTCCCAGGGACAGGGGTGATAAAAGAGAGTGTGTCCCTTAGTACAGGGGGATGTATTCATACTCCTGTTATAGCTCTATCTCTTCAGTAAGTATCTCTTTGGAAAAGATACTTGATAACTGCTTATTGATGATACTGAGGAAATATCAACTGGTTAAATGATCCTGGTGAGACACTAACTTGGCACTGAAAAATCGATCAATCAGTAACGATTTATTAAGCACCTACTATTTGCTAGGCACTGTGCTAAGGGCTGGAAATGTTCTTGACCAAGAAGGGAAGAGGATAAACCTTTATTTAGTGTCTGGTATGTGCCAAGCATTGTACTAAACACTTTACGAATATCTCATTTAATCTTCATAACAGCCCTGTGAAGTAGATGCTATTACGATCCCCATTATACAGTCACATCCCCTGCTCAGTAAACTCCAGTGACTCCCTATCACCTCCAGGATCAAATACAAAATTCTCTGTTAAGCCTTTCCAAATCTGCCGCTACTCCTATCTTTCCAATCTCTTATACCTTATTCCTTTCCAGGTTTTCTTCAGTTCGGTGACAATGGCATGCTTGCTGTTCCAGAAACAAGACATTCCACATCAGTTCTGGTCATTTTCTCTGGCTATTCCCCATGCCTGGAATGTTCTCCTTTCCTAACTCCAGCTATTGGCTTCCCTGGCTTCCTTTAAGTCCCACTCTACAAGACTTTCCCAACCTCTCTTCATTTTAGTTCCTCCTCTCTCTTATTTATTTATTATTTATCCTACAGATAGCTTGTTTGTACATACTTCTTTGCTTGTTGTTTCCTCCATTAGATTGTGAGCTCCTTGAGGGCAGGGGCTCTCTTTGGCCTCTTTTTCTATCCCTAATGCTTAGCACAGTGTCTAGCACGTAGTATGGTGCTTAAATAAATGCTTATTGAAGGGCAGCTGAGTGGCACAGTGTATAGAGCACCGGCCCTGGAATCAGGAGGACCTGAACTCAGACACTTGACACTTACTAGCTGTGTGACCCTACACAAATCACTTAACCCCCATTGCCTCACAAAAAAACAAACCAAAAAAAAATGCTTATTGACTGATGAGGAAATGGAGACAAATAGCATTGAAGTGACTTACCAGGGTCACATAACTAGTAACTGTCTGAGGCCAAATTTGAACTCAAGACTTCCTGATTCATGGCCCAGTATTCTATCCACTGTGCATTTAGCTTGGGGTAGCAATCACTGGCTATTGATATTGAGAAAAATACATATATATGGGGTCTTGAGCCAAGAACAATAGGAAAATTCCATTGTTCTTCAAGAGTACCTCTAGAACTCTGATAAGAGAGATGTAGCCAATTGTGCTCTGTGGTCCCAATCTGCTAGTGCACATGTGGATCAGGAGAGTAAGTCCTAAGACTTGCTACATTTGGTTATATAAAATTAAGAAGTTTTTGCATAAACAAAATTAATGTGGTGAAGAAAAAAAGGAAGATAGTTAACTGGTGAAAAATCTTTGTGGCAAATTTCTCAGACAAAGATCTGAAAATGAAGAAATATGAGGTATTGATTCAAATGTATAAAAACAGAAGCCATTCTCCAATAGATGAGTGGTCAAAGGATATGAACTGGCAGTTTTCAAAAGCTGAAATGCAAGCTATCAACAATGCTCTAAATTACTAATAACAAGAGGAATGGAAATTAAAACAATCCTGAGCTTTTACTTTATACCCATTAGATTGGTAAAGATAACAAAAAAGGAAAATAATTTCTTGAGGACTTATAAAAGGACAGACACAATAATGCACTATTGGTGGAACTGTGAATTGGTTCAGCCATTCTGGAAAGCAATTTGGAATGATGTGACTCTTCTCCATGTTCTACTGTAAATTCGCCACAGTAGATCCATACAACATATTCAGCAGAATCAAGTAGCTCAGAAATGCCCCAGACCCACTCCCAAGTGCAGCCAGACCAGATTAAAAAGGCATTAGGAAATATTTAACAAAATGAATAAAACCAGAATTTGTTCAGTTGCTTTCAGTTGTCTCTGATTCTGTAATCTCAACTGGAATTTTCTTGGCAAATATACTGGAGTCGTTTGGCATTTCCTCCTCCAGCTGATTTTACAGATGAGGAAACTGAGGTAAACAGAGTTAAGTGCCTTGCCAAGAGCCATATAGCTACTAAGTATGTATCTGAGGCCACATTTGAACTCAGGAAGATGAGTCTTCCTGACTCCAGGCCTGGTGCTCTATCTAGTGAGTTTCTTTCTTTTTTTTTTCTTTTTCTTATTAAGCCCTAATTACTGAATGGGCATTGCCTCAGTCAAACTGAGACCTTTTAAAGATCTTAGCTTGAAAAGGCCAAGGTCCTTCACTGCATCCTGGGCCATCTCTAGTTGTCCTGATCCATATCTGGCCACTGGATCCAGATGGCTCTGGAGGAGAAAGTGGTGACTTTGCACAGCCCTCCCTCACTTAAATACAATTCATTTGTATGTCATGGCATCACCCTGATGCTATGGTTCTCTTTGAGAATGAAGGACAAATAACAATAATCCAGTGAGTTACCTAAATGCCCTAAAATACAATAAAACTTAATGTTACATTTGAAAACTAAGTCAATATGTGGCCCATATCCTTATATATAGGTTAGTGGCCCTGTTTCTGTTTAAGTTTGATACCATTGATCTAGTTGTCCTGACATTTTGTAGATATGAATGGAGCAAATAATCTATCCATGTTATCCTTCACTTATGTAACATGAACAATCTTTAAAAAAGAAATCAGAATTATTTTTTCATTCATTTTACCTCCTATAGGATGTATGCTGTTTTTTGCTTCTGCCTAAAAAAAACAACAAAGAACTTTGCTTTATTTCATTAAGATTCTTCCAGATTTAAAAAATATTTTTCATATTTGCCTAAATTGCATTATAGTTTTCTATTAGGCTAGGATTGAACAGAATACAACTGTTTTGAGAGGTGAAGGGATAAGTACAGGCCCATACAACCAGTAGGTGTCAGAGGCCTGACTTAAACTCAAATCTTTCTGCCTCCAAGGCTGTTCAATACACTAAGCTGCCTTTTAGTATTCTGCAACATTGATGGTCCTTTTTTTAAAAAAAAAAAATCTGATTTGGGTGGAGAACTCCTAGAGTAGAAACTCCCCCCACTTGCAGATATGCAACTCATTAGAGAGTTGATGGGATGGAGGGGGTGGAGGTGCATTAAATCAGTTATCCTTGATTAGGAAGCTATTATTTGTCAGAGGCAATATTTGAATGCAGGTCTTCCTGACCCCAAGGCCTGCTCTCTACCTACTATGTCATTCTTCCTTGTATGTATTTTTGTACCATAACCTAAGTAATATGGTCCTTATTATATTATGTTTTATGGACCTCTATATATAGTCTCCTCAACATTTAGGTTGTTCCCAGGATTTTTGCAATTACAAATATTGCTTGTTATGGGCACCTTTTAAAAGACAGTTCTTTAAAAAAAAAAACAACAATTTTATCTGGACTTCCAACAGTAAAATTGTTGAGTCAAATAGTATGACT